AATCAAGACCAAATGACTTCGAAGTTTTTTTCTCTTGCTACATCTAGGTTCATCTTCAAAGAACTCCTCGTTTTGACCATTACTAGTTGTAGCATCAATTGGTTTCTTTAATGAATTTGATTCATGTGACATATTAAATGAAAATTTTTTTTCAAAGAATGATGCATTCTTTGATTCTATAATAGTATTAATATGCACATCAGGAATCTTAGATTTGTGAACAAGAAATTGATATACATTACTGTAATGGGCATAACCAATTAATACACAATCAATGATTTTCGGTACTATCTTAACCTTTTTAGGTTTAGGAACCGCCACTTTTGCTAGACACCCCCACACTTGTAAGAATTTATAAGAAGGTGTTCGACCTTTCCATAATTCATATGGTATCCGATTAGTTTTCTTAGAAGACACCTTGTTAATAATATAATTAGCAGATAATAAGGCTTCTCCCCGTGAGTTTTGTGGTGCTCTCGAACTTGACAACATATAATTCATTATTTCTTTCAATATTCAGTTTTTGCGTTCAACTATGCCATTTAATTGAGGTGAATAGGGGGTAGTCGTTTGGTGAATGATTCCATGTGTTGCACAAAATTCATCGAAAGGAGATTCATATTCACCACTCTATCACTTCTTAGTGCACTTATCTATCTACTAAGTTGATTCTCAACTTCATTCTTATAATGCTTAAACATATCTATAACCTCATCTCTACTTCTAATTAAGTAAACATAACAGTATCTTGTGCAATCATCAATAAAAGTAATAAAATACTTTTTATCATTTCTTGTTTGCACAAAGCTTAAGTTACAAACATCACTGTGAATTAATTTAAGAGGTTTGGTACTTCTTTTAATTGACTTGAAAGATGTTCTTGCCAACTTTGATTCCACACAAGTCTCACATTTATTGTTTGAATCAATAAACATCTTAGCAAATCATTTAAATTAATTAATCTTCTAATTGCATCATAATTAACATGTCCTAGTCTAGCATGCCACATTAGAAGACTCAAGCAAATAAGAAGAATTCATCTCATTCTTATTATTAGAAGATGTGGGTACAACAGTCATTACATTGAGCTTAAAAAGCCCATCACTCATGTATCCATTCCCTGCAAACATCTCATTCTTAGTGAGTACAATTTTTTTGGATACAAAGACTAACTTATAACCATTCTTGCTTAGCAAAGAACTGGACACTAGATCCTTGCAAATATCTGGGACATGAAGCACTTCATTCAAGGTGAGTTCCTTGCCGGGTGTCATCTTGAGTATCACCTTGCCACTTCCTTCAACCTTAGAGGTAAAGGAATTTCCCACATAGAGTTGTTCATCATTCTCTAACTTTTTATAAGTAGAGAACATCCATTTGTTGGAATAGATTCGTCAAGTAACGCTAGTGTCCACCCACCACTCTTTGGGGTTACCCACCAAGTTGTATTCTGAAACAACTACAAAGAGATTCATGACGCTGACTTCCATAGAAAGATTGTCCATTTCTATCAAGTTTTCTGGAGCAGCTTTTTGAATTCTTTGGCCTACGACAATCTTGAGATATGCCCCAGTTTACCACAGTTGTAGTACTTGCCTTTGAATTTCTTCAATCCTTGATTTGGACCTTCGCTATTATGCTTCCTTTTCTTGTTATTCTTGATTCCACTTTCAATTATGTTGGCCTTAGATTCCATGGAATTAAAAACTCTATTTTTCTTCTTGAATTTATAGTTATCCTCCTCGATCCTCAAGCAAACAATCAATTCTTCGAGTTTCATCTCTTTGCGCTTATGCTTGAGATAGTTCTTGAAATCCTTCCATAAGGGTGGTAATTTCTCTATAATTGCAGCCGCTTGGAATGACTCACTAAGAGATATTCTATTGACATGGATGTCATGAAGGATTACTTGAATATCTTGAACTTAGGAGATAACAGTCTTAGAATCTACTATTTTGAAATCCAAGAATTTATCGACAATGAATTTCTTCATAATGGCATCCTCAATTTTATACTTTTTGTCCAAGGACTCCCAAAGTTCTTTTGTGGTCTTGACTGTACTGTACATATTGTATAATGCATTGTCTAACCCATTGAGGGTGTAAATTCTACACAAGAAATTCGAGTGCTTCCAAGCATCCATGACATCCACCTTTTCCACATTTGTTTCATTCTCATCAAGTGAAGGGACATCTTACTTAAGAAACTTTGCAATATTGAGGGTGGTGAGATAGCAAAACATCTTTGATTGCCAACATTTGAAGTCTGAGCTATTGAATTTCTCAGGCTTCTCTCCACAAGACACACTCACCGTTGTAGGAACAATTGTTGTACAAACAATAGAATCATTTGAAACTGTCATTTTTGTTACAAAAACAAAAGCAATAATTTAATACTAAAGTATGACAGAATATACAATTCTAATTTGTGATAGGTATAGTAATTAATGAAAATAAAATAGTACAGAATACAAAATTCTCTTTTAGACTTATAACAATACTTAATCTAATTATAAAATACAAAAAATGTCTTAAGATTGTTATAAAAAATATGTATATAATTCAATTATATTAAAATGTATAAAGTCTAACTCATGCAATATATTAAACATAATGTTTATAAATTAAATCAAGTGCACTCACATTGATGCAGAACATCACGAATAGTAAAATCCACAAATCTTATAATAAAAACAATAATCCGAGCCCTGTAAAATCATAGTTTTCTTAAGACAGATTTGCTCTCTCTCGGTACTTAAGGTTGATAAGCATCTGTCTCCCAAAATAAAACGAATTTCGTTCTTGAAGATGCATCACTTCAATCTCTAAGACTCCAACAAACACAATTCTTTGTTTATACTTGAACAGAACTTGAAATAATAATGCAGCAATATGCAGAGAGAGATAGAAAGAAAGAAGAAAGACTGAATACTTAATTCAGTATTTTGGATAATTAATAGAACTAGAATGAAAGACTAATTCTTGAATTATTCAATTGTATATTTTGGGAGTGCAACGAATCAAATATTTATAGACTTACTAGTGACTTTTCATAAATGATGTAACCATATGTAATGGTACATTTTAATCCAAAGGGTATTAATCATTACTTTATTTAAAGGTACAACCATTTGAAATGGTGTCTTTTAGTCCAAGGGATATCAATGCTGATTTTATGAAAAGTTGTGAGTATTTGTAATGGTGTCTTTTAACCAAAAAGTATTAATGATGACTTTATAAAAATATGTAACTATTTGGATTGATATCATTAATCAAAAGTCACTAATTTTGAATTAGTAGCCTTTCATGTCATATTCACTTCACGCCTTTTTAATTGCTCTCAAAAGTCACAAAGATTTTAACAACCTTTTTAATTGGGGTAATGCTATTTGAACATAAAAATCTGACTTAATTTATTGACATAATGATGCGGCTTAATAAGAATCATTTGATCAACATCATGTTCTAATGTTTGATGGAGTCTACAGCCAATTCAAAGGTTGCAGTGAATTAAGTCAATAAATTATGTCGAATATTTAGGTCCCAATAGTATTGCTCTCAAAAGTCATAAAGACTTCAGCAATTTCTCATTTAATACTTAATGATTTTTTAAATAAATATACCATTATTTCTAACACACTCACCATTATGGTACAATTTATCAGATTTCTTACTCCAAGATCTTCAGTTTTCGAATCTTTTTTACCAGTTTATATACATTCAGTCTCATTCTTTCTTAATACAATCTTTTGTGTAAAATGTTCAATTTTAAAGTCCTTGACGAGTGGCAGCGATGCACCCTATGTAGTCTTGACATTTGTGGTAGATTTTTTCACATTTTGTACTTGAATATCTTCAGTTTTCGGATATTTACTTGTTTTATTTGTCTCAACCGAGAATATCTACGGTTTAAAGAAAGCTTTAGAGACAGAAGTTTCAGTGGGTAATTGAATGGAGTGATACTCAGATTGGTTTGCTGGTTCTACCGTTCTAGTAAGTAGAAGTTTCAGTATTCTATCCGATAGAAAAAGTAATATTACACAATCTAAATGTAATTCAAAAAATTGTAACTAAAATACATATCATCTTATGTTCCATCATTTTTTTTATTGGGACCCACTCATCTAAGAGATTATATGTATTTGGATTATAACCTTTTGGAATAAATTTCGGTTGCGTAGCATTTTCCGACGTGAAATAATTATCCAATCGAGGACTTATAACAGCTTGTCTACGTGCATCGAATCCCAAGCTGCAAAACGAGGACACTAATGTTACAAGTTCCCCAGAAAGTTCGAGATAAAGAAAACTACAAAACTACAGAGATGATCCTATATACCCAAATGATGTGCTGTTTGTATGGGAGTGATCCTTATCAAAGGAGAGGAATCAATGGTTCAATAACCAAATTTAAACCGTATCACAACGTCATTGCATGTATTTTTAAGACAAATGTCAAGCGGATTGCTTTGGTGTTACTTTAATTCTTTCAAGATTTTTAGCTTGACAAATAAGGTCAGATTTTTAAATATAAATAACATTGCTCATATTAAAATGACATCTGCATTAAGTAGAGAATCAATTAAATTATTGCCCATTCTATTATAAACATGAAGGGCGTGTTTTCAAAACACGTGTTTTTAATGTATCTTAAAAATGTGTTTTTATAAATGTACTTCTACATTGAAAAATGTGAGCTAATTCATACTTATGGAGACAATAATAGGTTGAAAAATAAGTTCAAACCATTTATTGATAGAGTTAAATATAAAAACAAGTATTAATAATATTTTTTGTCCCTAAATTATGCATTTTTTGTCAGTTTTGTCATAATTGTATTAATTTTGTCAATTTAATGTCTAAAGTATTCAAGTTGTCTCATTTTGGTCCCTAGATAAATAGACCGTTATATTTTTGACGAAATACTTACATGTTTGACACTTGATATCCACTTCTTAACAGTGAGCATATCCCTTAAATTGATTGTGCACAACATACCACATGCAATTCAAACGCAAAGCTCCAAGAATTGAGATGAGGTGTATGATGATAAGAACTTAATCTTGACTATGGGTTACCACATATGGCTATATGGGTGTCCAAATATTTATTCAATTAAATAAATATTGGATTATTTCAGCCTTAGCCAATCATAGGGGCACAGCTTCAAATGTTTGAAAGGTATTATTTCAATAATGCACTCTTCAAATGTGACATTTATACTTCAAACTCCTCTATAAATACCAGAGCCATTGTGTGTTATATTCATGAAACATACATACACAACTGCGTTAGACATGGAGGTCACAATGAAGAGAACATCCCTTGTATTGTTTTCATGCCTTCTTAAGATGTCCTTCGTTCACTGCAGCAGATGATGCTTTCGATCCAGTGCTCGACACCACCGGTGAGAAGGTCCTGAGGGGTGCCCAATATCACATATTGCCAACTATCCATGGCAATGGCGGTGGCCTTATAGTAGCCAGCCAATTTAGTGGCCGCACATGCCAACGGGTTACTATTGTACAAGACTCGAACGAGGCCAACAAGGGCCTTCCCCTTTCGTTTTCTCCTGCAACCAACGATCATGTGGTCCAAGTAGCCACTGATCTTAACATAAAATACTCAATCAATAAGGTATGTCATCATACTCCAGTGTGGAGATTTGATGCCAATGACCATGCCAGGGGACCGTATTTCGTGACACTTGGTGGAGTTGAAGGAAATCCTGGTCGTGAAACCTTGAGCAATTGGTTTAAGATTCAGAAATTTGAAGATGCCTACAAACTTCAGTATTGTCCAACTGTATGTGGTACTTGTAGGGTTATATGTAGAGACATTGGTATTGTTCTCGACCATGGAAATCGACGTTTGGCTCTGAGTGATAGACCATTCAAGGTTATATTTAAGAAGGCCTAGAGGTTTTCTACTAATTAAACAGACGGTATTATTAGTACCCTAATGCGTACTGTTCCTAAATAATAGCTATGTATTGTAATAAGAAAGCTTGATGTCTTCCGGTGTTTTTCAATCTTCAATAGAGGGTATTAAAGTTCAGTTCTTCGAATGAAATAAAACTTTTCTTATTACATTTTGCATTTCTGGATTCAATTTTCGTTGCTTCTGCCTTGTTTCTGGTGTTGTCCTCTTACACTAATGTATCTATAAAAGTGTTTAGTTGTTTACGTATTATTATTGATAGAAAATACAGTATTTGATAGAGGACAATTATAGAAAAAGATTAATATAGTCGATTCAAAAAAATGGGACAAGCCTTTGTTAGGTGGAATTGGAGCTGACAAAATGCCATGGATCCTTGAATGAAGATGCCATATATCTTTTTCTGGTCAAGTTAAATTCAGATTACCACCAGTGGTAAATCGTACCCGTTTAAAATCGTCTTTGACTCTCATATAGTTATCAAGTAGGGTTTGATTAACGGGAGCAATACGATTTACTGCTTGGCTTTGGTGGTATTGTGGTGATGGTCTGCCCTTTCGAGTTAGTAATTATATCTCAAACTGAACATTTCATAGTGCGGGACCCTGATAGTCACGTTCATAGAGTTACTACCCCTACTGATCGCCCTCCCTCTTTTCTCAATAGCAAACAAAATAAAAATAAAATTCAGATTCAGATTCAATTTCTAGCTAACAAAATAAAGAAAAAAAAATATTCAGCAAAAATTGTCCTTTGCATTTCCACTTTCAAATGTTGAGGAAGATATGAACTACATGTTCAATCTGCAGTTCTTTTTGTTCATGTGATTAATGATTTCTGCCAATAAATGGTGGTTTGGAGAAACCATTACCAGTTCTTTTAATTGATTACTTGTGTGTATTGTATAAGAGAACCAAAATTTTTTAATTTTTAAGAGTAATTCTTGTTGAAAACAATTACTTGATTCAACCAATTTACACCAACCATTTCTAAGGCATAGTACATGCAGTCTTGCTAGTGTACCATATATGTGGATAGGTGGACGTGACAGCAGAAGATATGAAGGTTTTGTAATAGTAATTAATTAAGGCTGTTAATGGGTCATGCCCTGTTTTGAATTGCCATGTCAAACTCTATTCACTACACTAATGCATGGTTTTTGTTGGCCATCGAGGGGCACTTGTTCCCAACAAGCAAACCAGTAAACAAATTCTATTTGGCAGTGACTAGACTTGATGAAGAACAATTGACAAGCAGATTACTTGAAGCAGGCTGACGGTTGTCTTTAGCATACAAAGAAAAGCCAAAAAATAATATTAGAGATAAAATAGGAATTCAGTGGGATTAGTGGTGTTTGATTCGGATCAAGTCAATGATCCAGACTCTTTGTTTTATCATGAATTCCTTCAATTTTGGGCTGAATTCTATAATTTAGGCCCTCAAAACCATTTTGTTAGACTCTAGATNAAAAAAAAATATTCAGCAAAAATTGTCCTTTGCATTTCCACTTTCAAATGTTGAGGAAGATATGAACTACATGTTCAATCTGCAGTTCTTTTTGTTCATGTGATTAATGATTTCTGCCAATAAATGGTGGTTTGGAGAAACCATTACCAGTTCTTTTAATTGATTACTTGTGTGTATTGTATAAGAGAACCAAAATTTTTTAATTTTTAAGAGTAATTCTTGTTGAAAACAATTACTTGATTCAACCAATTTACACCAACCATTTCTAAGGCATAGTACATGCAGTCTTGCTAGTGTACCATATATGTGGATAGGTGGACGTGACAGCAGAAGATATGAAGGTTTTGTAATAGTAATTAATTAAGGCTGTTAATGGGTCATGCCCTGTTTTGAATTGCCATGTCAAACTCTATTCACTACACTAATGCATGGTTTTTGTTGGCCATCGAGGGGCACTTGTTCCCAACAAGCAAACCAGTAAACAAATTCTATTTGGCAGTGACTAGACTTGATGAAGAACAATTGACAAGCAGATTACTTGAAGCAGGCTGACGGTTGTCTTTAGCATACAAAGAAAAGCCAAAAAATAATATTAGAGATAAAATAGGAATTCAGTGGGATTAGTGGTGTTTGATTCGGATCAAGTCAATGATCCAGACTCTTTGTTTTATCATGAATTCCTTCAATTTTGGGCTGAATTCTATAATTTAGGCCCTCAAAACCATTTTGTTAGACTCTAGATGGCACATGCTTTTACGTTAATTAGTTATATTGTAATTTTATNTTGGCAGTGACTAGACTTGATGAAGAACAATTGACAAGCAGATTATTTGAAGCAGGCTGACGGTTGTCTTTAGCATACAAAGAAAAGCCAAAAAATAATATTAGAGATAAATAGATCAAAACTCGGAATTCAGTGGGATTAGTGGTGTTTGATTCGGATCAAGTCAATGATCCAGACTCATTGTTTTATCATGAATTCCTTCAATTTTGGGCTGAATTCTATAATTTAGGCCCTCAAAACCATTTTGTTAGACTCTAGATGGCACATGCTTTTACGTTAATTAGTTATATTGTAATTTTATATTTTTTTGTTAAATTTCAAATAATTAGGGATTTTGCTTGTGATATTAATCATATCAAATGGCTCATTAAATACTTATTGTAGATATATCACTTAATAAATCTTATAATGTCAAAAATATTATATTAACTTTTCATCTTCCAATATTTTCATGTTGTTATTAATTCTCTAATGTGTATGATAGGATAAGGAAAAGGTCATATCAACATGCCCTCCTCCTTATAATATTAAGTATATCGTTCTACTCTTCTTAGATCTATATCTATATCATATTTATCCATACCACCTAAATTAATTTTCCTAATCTATAATTATGTATCTCATTTTAGTTCTAGACCTTACAACTGCTATAGCAACATATTTAATTTATGACCTTACAGCTACAGTAACTGACTTAGATCAAAATGACTGTCCATGTTCAGAACAAAAGGATTAATCTAGCAGATTAATTTGCATAATGCTACTTGTTGGAGATCATTTTCAACATCTTTCAGAGAGGAAATAGATAGCTACGGACCTATCCTAGTTTTCTTTGACAAGTTTATGTTTTCTCTACTCTCAAATTTATTCTTTCTCTATTTTAAAGAATCTAAAGGTATATCCCAGTTTCATCGCAAGAGTTACATATTTTGATGACATAAAATTTTGTCTCTCTTTGTTGTATTTTGATTAGAATGAATCATATTATGTTTTCTTGTCAAGTTATATGAACTCTGGATTGTAGTGAGTTTTCATCTGTTAACTATTGTCAGTGAGGCAACGAAGTATGCATATTTGACTTTAGAAGGGGCCAACAAGAAAGACAAGAGTTGAAAAAGATAATTTTTTTTTAAGGAAAATTTGGAAGCCGATCCCCCTATATGGACTTATTTGGAGATAAGTCCGTCAAGGAAATCTATTTGGTTTTAAGTCCATTTTTTGTCAATTTTACTATTCTAACCCTTTCTTGTAGGAATGTCATAAACAAATTTTGAGGAACGTCTCCTTCATAAATGGATACAATAATCATCGATATACATCTTCTCATAATTGCCTTCAAATCTAGCTACAATCTTCCAAGCCACAATGTTTCCTTCTCTGAAAAACAAGAAACTAGCATTTACCTAAAATCGTTCATATTCAAATTTCAAACTCATTAAATTACATAAAATACAATTTTGATTTACTATTCTATTTTACTTTGGACTCCATTGACATAGTTGAAGTTGATTCTTACATTCAAAAAATCTTTACACCTTTGGGATTTAGAAAAATATAGTTAAGGTATGTGATTTTATGGAAAAATTGATGTTCATTGTAGGGTTTTAAAAAACCTTCTACATAATCTATATTTCAAACTGAACTCCATTTTTTGCGTTCCTAATTTTAAAATTGCAATTCATTATTACTAAAGTAAAGTGTTATAGATTTCAATTTTGTTGATTTTTTTGTTGTGCAAAACAATCGAGTATTCCTTGGTTGTGTTATTATGGAGAAAGTTCTTGTTACTATATCTGAACTAACAAATAGAGTTTAGAATTTTGATGTCTTGATGTTTACAATTGGTGTTGGGTGTCGTAATTCAATTGTCAATTATGTGTTACTATTCATTATTTTGTAAATTTTCAATTTGTGGATCATATTTTCACTAAAATCATTCGAAAGTTGATGTTATTGTGAAAAAATTATTGTCTTGTATTTTATAAAATTCAATGTGTTACTGAGCACAAAGTTTTGATATTATTGTGAATATTAATGTGTAAGCTACATAATATATGTCGCAAAGTTTGTAATTGTTATTGTAAGTGAAAATTGGGTCTTGGTGTGTGTTACTATTTGAAATGCTATCATTCTTCATTTTGGGTATTGTTGTTTTGTGAAAAATAATCACATTTTTGTAAAACTCGGGTAAATTTGAACTTTTTCTGAAAAAGGGTAAAATGGTAATTTGTCACTATAATGCGTATTTAAAATACTCATGATCTAGACCTCGGATGAGGAAATGGAGTTCGCCGTTGGATTCATATCACAAAATCTAGTCACCCTGTCAAATTTCGTCGAATTCCGAGATAGTCAAATTTTTGCACGTCATTAGAGGTGACGACTGCGTGGCGAATGATATTTTAAAGGTCCCCAAAAATAATTTTTATAAATTTCCTTAGAATTGGATAAAATTTCAAATAAAATTAATTTGAGCTTAATCCAAGACTTGATGAATCGTTTTAGGACGAAAAACGGACCCGAAAGTCAAAAATATGTGGTGCGATGTGGATCGCACATTCGGGACTAAAATATAGACTTAAAATCAGATTTTTTTGAGAAAATATCTCATGCATTCAGCCCCCTTTGGCCGGCCATAGAGAGAGGAGAGAGGAGAGAGGAAAGAGAAAAAAATAGTTTTTCAAGGCTTATTTCCCGGATCTTCGAAGTTCCGTCGCTCGGATTAACT